AAAAACTATTGGATAAAAGAAGGATTTATTAAACACCTTGACTTGCTGTAATTTTTCAAAACAAGCTAAAAACAACCTCTAAAACTAATGTGACCCGAAACAAACAAAAGCAAAGTTGAAAACCGAATGGTACCTTCGAAGGATAGAGTATGGACTTGCACATAGAAAAAGCCTACAAATATACTTCGTTGAAAATTCTCCAGCCAAATTGGCAAAATCCATCGGGAAAAGTATGGCATATTTATTTTATTATATAGATCGATTTTTTACAAAATCTAAAGCAAGAAAATCCTACCATATCTCTGTAGACCATCAATGAGCAAAATTCAGGGCTAGAGAACCACCAAGAATCCGGGTAGACCATATGAGAAGCAAATTTTTCAGCACCATGCTTGCGCTCCTAAAAAATATGTAAGAATTCTCAAATGGCGATTTTATCTAAGTAGTTTAAAGCATGATCCCATCATCTTGAAAGAAATCTCCAAGGAATATAACGACTCTTAGAGAGCAACAAATCAACAACTTAAGCGCTTTAGCCAAAAAAAAGAAAAAAAAATCAACAACTTAATTAGCATAGCCGCATTCAAACTAGAGAAAACTCTAATTGAAGTGATTAGCAAACTCATTAGCAGTAACAAGTTAATAATACCCATAAGCTCAGCTTTAAACACATGAAGAAACTACATATATAAGAAGCGTCAATAATCATATCATAGCCACGCGGTTCTGATCAAAACTGTATCGTTTGGATCGAAACCTCTCCCTCACTTTTTTTTCAAGCTCTTTATTTTATTTTATTTTGCTTTTTACTCTAAAATTTAATTATTTTATTATTTTGGTCCTCTTTTCATTTTTTGTTTAAACTTTTACCCTAAAACTTTATTTTTCCCCCTTTTTTTTTCTTTTTGTCCTAAAATTTATTAGTCTTTTATTTTATTTTTTTCTTTTGCCTTAAAAATTATTTATTTCTTCATTTGGTTCTTTTTCGCCCTGAAGTTTTTTTTTTTTTTTCATTTTGGTTATCTTGTCCTAAAATTTATTTATTTCTTAATTTCGATCCTTTTTCTTTGCTCCTTGCTCTAAAATTTTAACTCTTTTTTTTTATTATTTTGGTTCCTTTTTATGATTTTATATTCCAATTTTATATGCTTTTAAATTTGTCTCGTTTCTAACATATTATTTTAGAAAACGTTATTGTGACGTGTATTTCTCTTTCTCTATGCCTTATTTAACTACAACTATTATTTTTTTAACACATACATTCTCTCTAATTTGTTTATGTTGGATGATTTTAAAATGCATTTTTTCTCTTACTTTATTCCTATTAACATATTTTTTTTCATATGTGCTTGTGCTTAATTTTTTGTCTTTTTCTTTTTCAAAAGATTCTTACAATGTAATCCTTTTTTAATGTAATTATTTTAAATAATTTTTTCTCAAGTGTTTTCATTTAAATATATTTCTTCAGATGTATCCTTATTTAATTTTTTTCCTATGTTATCCTTTTTATTTGAATTGCGATACGTAAAAAGAAGTTGGATTGCTCCCCACGCGTATAGCACGTGAGTTCAATTAGTACCTAGAGGTTTAAGCACAACATCATGTACAAAAATTTCTGTGAACGTGACCATATAGAATTGGCAAAATTGGAATGCAGAAAAATGTGCTCAACATCTTCTTTAGCAAAATAGCAGAAGCATCACCATGAAGGAAGCAAAAATCCCTCATTTTCCAAAACGTACTCCATTGCAAGACGGCCACGAAGCGCCTCCCAAATAGTGAAGGAACGTACGTCTAGATTGAACCGATTTCCTCCAAATTGTTTTAACCCAGCTAGCCATTTACCATTTGGAATGAAAGAAATATTCATGGAAATCCTGAGTTTTTGGATTACCATCAGAAGAAAATCTCTGCATCATATCATACGTGGCTTCTTCAGAGATAATCGCATTGTTAATGTCTTTAGACATGTCTGGGAAAGGACCAATGAAAGATGTAGGGTGCAATTTAAGATCGTACTATGGATTAAAATTGATATGCAATGGAGCTGGCTTACCGGCTTTAAGGGTTATATAATTTGTGGCTATGAGCTCATGAAATCAATGTGTTTATTATGTATTAAGCTCTTGGTTCACATGGTATATATTTCTAAATTTGTGAAACTATATGAGATTCAAGGACTCTCTATCAGCAAGACCCTATTATGTATTCTACGCCATCTAGGATAAATACCCCTTTCGTATTCGTGTTTGTAATATGTTTAAGACTATTTTGTATACTACTTTGTTACTATTAGCATAAATAAAACTTTTATAATTTAATTATATATCTAAGTAAGTGAAAATTAAAATTTATATTTTACATATATTAATGAGGCGATACAGAAAGATCTAGTTTTTATCGCTTTGGGATCACTTCAAGATTAAATAAGGTATTTTCTCCAGTTTTTAGAAGATCTATAGCTGGTGCTGGATTTGGACCAAGAAAATGTGGTTTTTGGTGGAAATAGACCATTAAACAAAACTCGTCACGAAGCGACGATATGTGACGTGTTTCAACAAAATCCAATCGTTTAAACCTTCAAAAAGATGTTTTTGGTGTTAGAGAAAAGTCTACCGATACCTAGTGATTTTTCCTGACGCGTTGATTGCATCTGTAAACGTTCTTTTGAAGTAGCACTATTTAACCACTTAAGTACATTTGTTTTATTTCAAAGCTTCTGGTTAGTTTAGAATTATGATTTTTGGTTCTGTTATAGTATTTTTTTCTCATAAAAAATTTAAATTTTAAAAATTAAAATCATAGACCATAATTTTAAATTTAAGAATCAAACGTCCTCTTAATTACGAGAATGTGGATCTCCACTGTCCACTCACGAACTCAGCTTGTAAATTGGATTGAAGCTCAGTTGTATAATGATATTACAGAAAGAAATCAGATAAAAAAGAAAAAAGTTATTTGAAATATAAGTTTTATGTAACCGAGTCCAATGAATAAAGTACACTCGCTTCACGGATATTTTTACTATATATAATTAATGTTTGGTTTGAGATTTTCACGGGTCCAAAACTGGTCGTTGTCTCCCTACTCCCACTTGTTCAACAAAAAAGTAGAGCCAACACAAGTAAGGACACCATTCATTTCTTCATCAATATTACCCCATTATTCAGCAATAGTGGATCGCAGCCAACACAAGTAAGGACACCGTTCATTTCTTCATCAATATTGCCCCATTCTTCAATAATAGTGGATCGCGGTCCCATTGCAACAAGGAACAAAAGTAGGAGAGACGTGCTATCAATCAACATTCTTGGATTTATATATAGCTTTAAGAAAAAACATAAAACTGCATGTTTATTGTATTTGCATATATATGTGTGTGTGTAGGACGCCAGTATTCATGAACTGATTTGTAATACAGGAGAGAGAGATGAGAATGAAACTGAAGAGAGAATATTTCATGACGGTCTCTTATGCCGTCTTAGTAATATTAGTTCTGATTTCACTTGCTGGAGCAAATATTGCTCATAAAGTCGAGGCTCTGTCCATTGACGGCACCAGCGGAGCCCGGCTGTTCAACGCCACAATCGATGACTGCAACGGAGAAGAATTAGGTGAGTTTTTTATGCAACGGAACCTAGCTGAGCAGAAAAAGTATATCACTTTTGACGTTGCAAATAAGAAAGGTCCAGTTTGTTATGCCCTTAAATACGGCTCATGCCTTATGAAAAGTAATAAGCAAAGTCGGCCATGTACCATCTACAATAAGTGCGATCGTGGAGGACAAGGATCCTAAGGGCGAGGCCGAGGTGGTCGTCCGAGGAGCTTTTTCTTTTTTTTGTTTTTACTAAATTTAAAAATTCCAGTGGTTGTCCGAGGAGCTACTTTGGGGTATATTATATAGTGCATAAGATTATATAGGTGTGATGTGTTTATTTATAATGATCAGGAGAACTTGTAAATTGTATTGTCTTGGTGTTTAGTATATGTGTCTCTACGTGTATTATATGCTAGCTATGAAAAGGGTAAAAGTTTCTATATATATATATATATATATATATATATTACTCACAATGAGATAAACAAAAGTTAGTTTTCACTTATTATTGATTCTTTGGTTTATGTACATTAATTAATCACTTTTGATATCCGTAAGGGAAGAATCAAGAAGCGGATGAATATCTAATCATGTAAGGTGGAATATATATATATATATATATGTGTGTGTGTGTGTGTGTGTGTGTGTGTGTGATTATATATATATATATATATATATATATATTGTATATGTATCTGTACGGTTAGAAGTGTTAATCAAAGATTATAGTTAATTAACGATGGTTAGTTATACAGTTACCATTTGCACATCCAGAGAGAGATTTTTTTTCAGATCTTTTTAAATAGACCCGTTTACAATCTGTTTTAACCATATTTGATTAAGTAATCTGTTAATTTACAACTGCCAAAATATCTAGTGCAAGTAGGTTCTGTTTTCCTTTTTATATTATTTTAATAAAAAAGAGCACGAGTTTTAGAGGCCATCATGGAAGTAGACATCGTTGGAAAAATTACAAGGACCAACACCATTAGGACACTTGACCAAAATGATCATGTCAATCCAAAGACCACAAAACAAACACCTTGATCAATATATATATATATATATATATATATATATATATATATATCTATATATATAAAAAAAAAGTGCAAGTAGGTTCTGTTTTCCTTTTTATATTATTTTAATAAAAAAGAGCACGAGTTTTAGAGGCCATCATGGAAGTAGACATCGTTGGAAAAATTACAAGGACCAACACCATTAGGACACTTGACCAAAATGATCATGTCAATCCAAAGACCACAAAACAAACACCTTGAAATATATATATATATATATATATATATATATATTTCCATCAATGTTAATAAAAGTAAAACTATTTATCTGCCATAAAAGTATTGGAGACTCCGTTCAAACCCTAGCTAATAGATTTTCAACCATGCACACCATAGCTATCTGCATCTCAACTTTCCTTCTCCTTCTTCCCACTGGTGCAACTGAAACCGATCAACCACCTTACAATCCCACCGACTCTTTTCTCCTTAATTGTGGCTCATCTTCGAACCAAACTTATTACAATGATCAAGGCCGTCTCTGGGAAAGCGATTCTCACTCACAACATTTCTCTTCACAAAACATACAAAGCTCATCCTCAGAATCCAACGCTTCGGAACAAGACTATAATTCTGCCCCCAAAGTCCCTTACAAGACCGCTCGCATATTTCACTCCAAATTCACGTACTCTTTTCATCTCTTGTCACCGGGGCCGAAGTTTGTCCGTCTCTACTTTTATTCCGCCACATACTCTGGCCTCAATAAATCCGATTCTTTCTTCTCTGTCACCGCCGATAATTTCATTCTCTTAAACAACTTCAGCGCTTCTCTTTTTGCTTCCTCTCGGACCTCACCTTATTTTGTGAAAGAATTCATCATCAGCGTTGCCAATAATCACAACCAATTCAACCTATTCGAATTAGCCTTTAATCCATCTCCAAACTCTTATGCGTTCATCAACGGCATCGAAATTGTTTCCATGCCGGAAAATCTCTACACAGCCCCAACAGACAAACCGATCACCTTCGTCAACAGCAAGGAAACCCCGTTCTTGTTCACGAACGGCACCGCTCTTGAGAACGTGTACAGACTAAACGTAGGCGGAAGAGCTGTTCTCAGCATAAACGACACCGGAATGTTGCGAACCTGGATTCAGGACTTGAATTACTTGTATAGTTACAAAGCGGGTTCAACTCCTTACCTGTCTAACGTCACAATCGAGTACAACTCCAATACGCCGGCTTACACTGCACCCGAGGTCGTTTACACAACATTTCGCCAAATGGATCCAAAGGGTCTTAACAACACCAAGTACAACCTCACGTGGCTATTTCCGCTCGACGCCGGCTTTTCTTACCTCGTTAGGCTTCACTTCTGCGAGACTCTTCTGGAGGTGACCGTTGAGAATCAAAGGGTGTTCTCTATATACATGAATAGCATGATAGCTGAGGAACAAATGGACGTCATTTACTACAGCCGCGGCTCCAAAATCCCTGTGTACAGAGACTACATCGTCTTTGTAGAAAAAGAAAGCCACAATCAAGAGGGATATCTATTGCTTGAACTTCACCCCAACAATAGGTCAAAGCCAGAGTACTACAACGCAATGCTAAACGGTGTTGAGATATTTAAATTGAACCAATCTAATGGAAATCTCGCCGGACCGAACCCGGATCCAGCAAACTCCGTCACAGTTTCTCAACCAAAGCCATGGCCAAAAGGAAACAAAAAGAAGTCATCAATCTTGGAAGTCACTATAATCTGCATAGCTGTTTTTAGCTTTGTGCTAGGTCTCTTCGTATGCTGGCTTATATTCTTCTACAAGAGAATCATAATATCCTCAAAGAAGAGGAGGAAGGAAGGTTCATCGCTGCCGTCTGATCTCTGCCGTCACTTCACGATCAACGAAATCAAAGCGGCCACGTGCGACTTCGACGAGAGGCTCATCATCGGCGTCGGCGGCTTCGGTAACGTGTACAGAGGACGCCTCGCCGGACCCAACCAAATCCATGTGGCGGTCAAACGTTTGAATCCGAGGTCAAAGCAGGGTGCTCGGGAGTTCAGGACGGAGATCGAGATGCTTTCCAAGCTCCGACACGTTCACCTTGTCTCCCTCATCGGCTACTGCGACGACCGGAACGAGATGATCCTTGTCTACGAGTACATGTCGCGCGGGACGCTCCGCGACCACCTGTACAGCGGTCCCACCGAGAATCCCGCACTGCCGTGGAAGCAGCGGCTGCAGATCTGCGTCGAGGCGGCGCGTGGACTTCACTACCTCCACACGGGTGCAAACCACGTGATCATCCACCGAGACGTCAAGTCAACGAACATACTCTTGGACGAGAAGTGGGTCGCGAAGGTTTCGGACTTCGGGCTTTCTAGAATGGGCCCCACTTCGGCTTTGGACACCCACGTCAGTACCGAGGTCAAGGGAAGTTTTGGGTATTTGGACCCGGAGTATTGCCGGAGGCACCAGTTGACGGAGAAATCCGACGTTTACTCATTCGGGGTGGTGTTGTTGGAGATGCTGTGCGGTAGGCCGGCGATGGGCCGGGCCTTACCGAAGGAGCAAGTGGGCCTGGCGAATTGGGCCCAAAAGTGTTACAAGAACGGGTTGATTGAGCAGATAGTGGACCCGAATCTGGAGGGCGAGATTGCGGCGGTGTGTTTAAAGAAGTTTGCAGAGATCGCAGTACGGTGCGTTGCCGACGACGGAATTTTGCGGCCGTCGATGGCGGATGTGGTAGGAGGGCTTGAGTTTGTGATGGAGCTTCAAGAGAGCGATGAGAAAGTCGATGAATTCGTTGGATTTGAGATGGCTGATGGGAAAGATAGGAGGTTGTTTGGTTCACGAGAAAGTCATGATGAGGAGTCGGATTCTGGGAAAGGGAAGTCATCGGAGGAAAACAGCACTGAAACGTCGGTGTTTAGATGGGAAGAGAGTGAGGAGAGTGACGTCTGGTTCCGAACGCTTCTTGTCGGAGAGCTAGGATAGTTGGGAGCTAAATATATATACGTATATATATATATATATATATAGCAAGAACTTTGGTGTTACTAGCTAGGTTTATAGGTCTTCCAACATAAAGCCGTACACATGCAGTGGAGTACGTGAATGGATTTGTAATATGTCCAGGTGTATGATATGCTAATCATTCAAAAAAGATAGACAATATATATGGTTTGCTAATGTTTGATCCAAAGAATGTACTCAATTCATATTTGGAAAGTTTGTTTTCGATTTGTTTTCAACTTTTATTTCTATAAATCTTAATGTTTTATTAGTATGTTTTGGGGAAAAGGACAAACAAATTTTACAAAATGAATTTAAAAGCAATGACGAGCAGAAGATGAAGATATATAATGAATAAATAACACTCGAAGTAATAGAGTGGTAAATGCTGATTACATTACAGAAATATTAGGAAAAAAAAGGATGTGAGTCCAACAAATAAGACATATATTTTATTAATAATTCAATATAGTTTTGCAGATCACTATTTTTATTCAGTGAGTTTTTTTTTTTTTTTTTTTTTTTGAGCAAACGAAAAAATACTCTTGTTTCTTAATAAAGAAAAAAAGAGAGAGAGAAAATCTAGAGAAATGCGTCTAGACTCGTGTCCTCTTTTAACCACTATAAGATTTTCATCATCATTCCCCACTATAAAGATGATCTGAATTCGGACATGATCATTCCCCACTATAAAAATGATCTGATTTCTCCGAATTCAGTCTTCGAAGAGTATTTAGGTAATATCAAAATAAAAATAAATAAAAAGCAACTTTTTACGGCATATTTAAAATATTTATACAAAATGATCACTTTTATACGCTATATTTATAACAAATATTTAATTTAACAATATTATTAATATAATATTATTTTGAATACTCTTTTTTATGGGTGATTTCGGGTGGTTAACAAAAGTTAAGAATATTATTACGGATTTATAGATTTATGTGTAAATATCACAACTTTATGAACATTCATTTTTTCATCTCTTGCATAATAGACATATATATGTAAATAATTTTAGAGTTTAAAGCTATTAGAGCAACTCCAATACAATGTTATATTTGATGTGTCAATTGCAAATTTAACATTTTAGTGCAACAAAAAAAACACTATTCAATGCAATGCTATTTATTGTGCTAAATTTTCTATATGTTATACTTTGTGATAAATTTTCCACCAAGTCTAGGATTTGGCAAATGTAGCATTTGATTCTTATTGGTTGATATGTTTACTTTTTTCATTTAATCATTGCATCTTTTCTATTTTTAAATTATTTTAAAAGTCTACTTTTACAACTTTTAAAACTTTAATGATGATAAAAAAAAGTATATTTAGTATTTCAAATAGTATTATGTAATAGAGTACAAATAAAAATAGTACTGTCCTATCATATTTTTTAGTGTCAAATATCCAATTGACATTAGCATTTACATTGGAAATAATCTTAAATTTTTGTGGTTTACTACGTGATTGTCTCTATCTCTTTTGAGAAAATTGTTGAGCTTACCATTAAAGTATATAAGTCAGGATTTTTACCATTTACTATTGATTAATATTCTTTTAACTAATATAGTTATTTGACTAAAAATGTATTAATCAAGAATAAGGGATAAAGCTCAAAACTTATATACTTTAAAAGAATATAGATCTAGATTTTTATTTCTCAGAGTACTATTTGTTACTAGATAATTATTTAACTAAAACAAATATTAATTTAATGTAAAAGATAAAAATTAAGACTTGTGTATTTTAAACGAATATTTGTTAAGATTTCTCTTTCACTATCCACCAACCGAAAGTGGCCAAAATCCTAATGGGCTCAACCTCATCAGTCAGTCACCACAGAGAGCCCAAACCCCTTCAAACCCCAGAATCCTCCCCCGCGTTCGAAAGGCCTAAAAACCTGGGAACAAAACCTTCAAAACGGAGACTCGCACTTCATTCGTTCCGAATCCCAAAAGAATCAACTGAAGAATCAGAATCAGAATCAGTCGAGCTCTGAACGATAGAAGGAAGGAAGGAAGAAGATGAGCAATAAGCACGGCCCTCCCAAGCACCAGAACAAGTTCGCTTGGAAACCTAACGCCGGTCGCAAAATCAACGAGACGGTGATTATTTCAATCCACAATCAGATTTTGATTTTTTTCCCAATTTTCTGAATTAAATTTGTTTAAGATATTGAAGAAAGAAAATTCTTCGGCTGTGAATGTTTAGGAAGTTGGAGGGAGGTTCAGGCCGCTGTCGGAGGTCACCGGCGTATGCCATCGCTGTAAGGAGCAGATCGAGTGGAAACGCCGTTACGGCAAGTACAAGCCTCTCTCCGAGCCTGCCAAATGGTATTTTTTTTCTTTTTCTTTTTATTTTTTGTATTGATTGGGTGAGTTTTGTAAGTAACAATTGAAACGTTTTCAGCCAACGTTGTTCGAAACGCAATGTCCGTCAGGCTTACCATAATCTATGTCACGGTTAGCTTCAAATTACAGGCTTTTTTTACCCTTTTCTTTTTTTGGTTTTAATGATTTGCTCTGAAACTGATTTTACAGTTGTTTATAATGTTTTTGTTATTTGGGTTTTGTTGTTAGGTTGTGCCAAGGAGCATGGTTTATGTGCAAAGTGTTGTTGCCATGTGAGCCAGACGGTTGGAAGGTTTGCCTCACAAATGTTCCATGTTATTTCATCTGCAAATTATATTGTGTTGGAAAGTTTTCTAATTTACGTTGAATTTTCGTTTCAACTTTTATTAAAATGTCTTAGGGATTTGACTGAAGTAGAAGCTGAGCAGAAGATGCTTGAGGAGGTTTGTCTGTTATTTGAAATTCTGAAATTTGGTGGAATGTAAAAGGTTGGTTTTGAATTGAATGTTGATGGGATTTGTTGGTTTTGCTATCAGGCTATCAAGAATGCTCGAGAAAGGGACAGAAGGTCTCTAGTTCGAGCTGTAAGCTTCCATTTTCTCCGTTTCTCTGTTTACTTTCTTTCACTTGTTCTTCTAAAATAAATGTCTGCGAATGAATTCGAATTGTTGGAATTGTTTTTCTCTATATTTGTTTCATTTTATAAGTTCCCATTTGATGATTTATGTGTATATGTCAGTGTATTTTCTATAAAGTGTTGGTGGTAATCGCTTCACCTCATTTTCCTCTTCTTCCAAGTTGGCTCTTTTATGTGTGCAGTTGTGAATTTTCATTTATAGTCAGCAATATGAATCTGAAATTTATGAGAACGTATGGTTTTAACTTTTGTACTCTTCTTATATGCAATATGAAACTGTTTTGTCCATGTTACCATTCTTTGCTATTGGGTGAGCACGTTGTATTCATGTCTGTCATATAGTATAGCTTATAGAATGTGTCATGTTCACTCTTATTCGCTTTCCATCCTACTGGAACAGATGAACAAAGGGAAATCGAATGATTCAGCTGAAACTACAATCGAGAGTGTAAACAAGGTTGGGGAGTTATTTCCATCGGCAACTCTTGAAGACTATGCAGAATTGAGCAGAGATGATGATGAAGATGACAATGATGAAGGGCGAGTTTTGTAACTAAGAAAGGTGGAAACAGAGTTTACGTAGTTGTGTTGAGCATGAAATTCGCCCCTTGATAGCATTAGCATGCATCGTGTTGTTTTTCAACAATATGAAGAACGCCTAAATATAGGAATGCAATATTTATTCCGACAAGAAATTTTTTTTTCCCCCCGACTTATTGCAAGAAGATGAGGATTATTATTATTTAAAAAATAATAGGACTAGTAGTAGTAGTAACTCTACTTATCTTGCTCTTTACGATCCTTGAAACAGGATCTCCAATATTTTTTTTTTTTTGTAATTAGTACTGACTGCAATGTACTAATGAATAGAAAAGGTTTCATGTGATTTTATGTGAGAGTTTTTTACTGTAGTAAAAAAAAGGTTAGATATGACTGTCTTTTAGAGCGTTTTACTATAACAAAATTCAAATTTTAAACTCGAATCGGTGAAATGAACGGATGTTCGTTTATTGGATCCAACTTGTTGAAAACTTGGAGCCTTCACACTTTGTATGGGCAGTAATATGTTCTATGATTCCCATCCCGAGTATTAAACTCTTCTTGACCATGGATGAGTGATCCATAACGTGCAAGTTAATCAAGATTTTAATGCGAAATAACGTGTTTTTTGAGTTGATTGCTTGGATTTCGGAATGTTCAATTAAGTAAGAAGATGCTTGTCTCTTGAGCATCACACATTCATGGCAAATAACTATATAGAGAGACGTCTGAGCACCTACGAAATCGAAAAGCCTGAAACATGAAATTATTATTATTATTATTATTATTATTATTATTATTATTATTATTTTAAAAAGTCACTGATCTTGCTTATGAAGTCAACTCCAGAAGGATTGGATCAAGGCTTCACTAAAAGTCATTCCATGAAAAGTTCAATTTTAGACAATGCCGCCAAAAAAAAAAAAAAAACACCAAAGCCCTGGAAATGCCTTAATGGAGGCCTTCTTCCCTTCATGTTATGCACTCTTCTTCTTGCCAGCCTCCTTGCCATGATAACAATTGGGTCCACTGTTGCGTATCCGCGTGTTCTACAGTCAAAGTGGCTGCCTACCTTATTCACTTCACAGCCAAATATCCCACCTGCAGACCCAAGTAGGAGTTTTGCTCAAGCAACTGCATGATGAGAGTTCAGAATCTAAAAACCTTGCCAAAGTTTCTGATCAACTTCTTCACATTGCCCTTTCTTTGGACAAGCTTTCAAATAGCATATCCGGTCTGTGCAGCAACAATGAGGATGAAAGAAATGAGGTGGTAAGTCATATGGATCGAGATTTAAGTGAACCCGAGGAAGATGAAGCTGATGCTCCCGAAGATCTTCAATTCAGGTGAGCTTCATAACTAACACTTCACCTAAACCCAGCTGGCTAATTGGGAAGAAAAACTATTTTGGGTTGGAGACTGTGAACCCATCAATTTGATTATCATGTCGAAGTATGGCTTCTCATTTAGACTGATACACGAGTTACAAGCTCCACGGGACATGTCCAGACAATTGGGATATGGCTCAGAAGCTGATAGCCAACGGGTGCGACCCATTGCCAAGAAGAAGATGCTTCACAAGAACACCAGCTCACTACACTAAGCCATTTCCTATAAACTCCTCTCTATGGACTCAACCGAGTGATGCTAACATCTTGTGGAGCCATTACAAGTGCAAGGACTACCCTTGTCTTGTTTCTAATGAGACAGTGGACAAAAGAGGTTTCTTCAAATGTGCCCATTGTTTCAGCCTCTCAAAACAAAGGTGGGATATTCCAAAGAACGAGTCCGTCTCTGCAGAATTCACCATTGACAAAGTTCTGAGCTTGAAGCCAGGGGAGATCCTGATCGGTCTTGATTTTAGCCCTAGTACCGGAACGTTTGCTGCTATAATGAAAGAGTGAAATGTCACCATTGCATCGGCTACTTTGAACTTAGGGGCTCCTTTCAATGAAGTCATTGCCTTAAGAGGTCTTCTTCCTCTCTACATATCGGTTGGTTCAAGATTGCCTTTTTTGGACAATACCCTTGATATGATATATTCCACTCTGTTCTTGGATGGTTGGATAGGAATGGAACTTCTTTAGTTTGTGTTGTTTGATTGAGACCGTGTCCTTCGGCGGAAAGGGATTCTTTGGATAGACCGTTTCTTTTGTAGGAAAGAAGATATGGAGGAATATTTGGATGGGTTCAAGAGCCTCGGCTATAGACCTTTACTATGGATAAGCTTGGGGATGAGCTTTTCATCTCCGCAGTTCTCGAAGATCCCATCAGAGGTTAGTGTAACCACGCTTTATATATGTACTCTAACGAAAGTTATTTACCTATATATATATGTATATATATTATATTCAGTTATTATTGTTGTGACCATAGTGGGCGATTCTAAACATTGTGATACTCTACACATACATTGACACAGAATTTCAATGTTTAGCTTTTCTTTTTCTTTTTTTCAATTCCTGCGGAGGAGCTGGACCTTCCAGTGTTGAAAAAGAAATCGCCACGCCGTCTATTGTTCATAAATTATCTTGCAAAATTTGTGGATAGTTTTGAAGAATAACATCATAGCATAGTATAACACATCATAATAAAAAAAAAAAATGACATCATAACATAGTATACATGGGAAAAGAGTAAGCAACGATGGTATTTATTCCAGAGTAATTAATAAAATTTTCTTTGCACAGTGATATGCACTCGCTATAGGAGAAGGAAAAAAAATTTCAATTGATGGAGCGATACAACAAAATTTAACTTCAAAAACCTCGGTAAGGATCTCAAGTCCTTTTTCCAAAAATGTTTAAGTAAATGAATTATGAAAACACATTATCGGCCTCCAAATTACCATGGGCTTGCTCTGGAAGTCAGTTGCAATGTAATAAATTCTGGTGTATATCAAAAACAGCCATCGTCCAAAATATGTTGATCCTACCTAGCTAAAGGAACCGAATCTAACCCTTGCAAAGCTAGAAACTAATGTCATGGAGGACTTCTTACTCGAATCGATCATTCTTTGGCACATAAGCGCTCTGTATAAGAATTAAATGTACAAAAAAAGTGGTACATGAGTAGAGAATTAAGCTTCCATTGTACCAACATCAACAAAATAACCACGTTAAGAGACGGAAAAACTGTGCCAAAGAAAAAAGGATAACACGGAGAAAATGAATGTTATAGTCCATACTCAGATATTCATAAGTCAGTATCATTGAGGTTCCCCAAGCTGACATGCTGAAAAATCTTGGACCCAGGCCTCTGTAGAAGCCTTTCCAGCCCTCATCCTTGATCAAGCTTTTAATAACTTGCCTAGCATTGTGCCCCCTTTCATGTCCCATCACCTTTGGTGCAGCAAGAGCCAATTAAAATATAATTAAAAAAAAGTATCTATGCAACATAATGTACAGGAAAATTGTTGTGTGCATATTGACTATATGTAAATATAAGACTCATTAAGATGAAATCGAGAAACCAGGGCAATGCAACTGATGACAAATTAAGATGGTTTTACATCAACTATGTTCCATGAATACCACATACCTGTAAGCGTGTCTTGATGGTGTCCAGTGGGGTTGTTATGCAGGATGCTGTTGCACCTGCAATAATTCCTCCAGCGGCTTGGACTAACATTATCTTCCCCTCGCCAGGAGCTTTTTCTGAATTTCCATTGTCCAAGATCCTGCAGTACAGATCACAAATCATATACTAGACAACCTGATTGTTGACATCAAAACATACAATGAATCATTGGTTACTACTTGCTAGCTAGGACCATTTATGCTAAAGATACATTGTCATCATATTCAATTTCTGAACTTGTGATTTTATAAATCAAGGATTCAATTCTAGCTCAGTCTACGCTAACCTAGCTCGCTCAACACACTTAAAGTTCATAGATAAAGATAATCATTTCTCACCTCCAGATGAACCGTTGGCTTGAACCATAACTTGCCCACCAAACTGCACTAGAAGGGGAGTAAGTCATAACTGATAGGCCAAAACCCCTATATAATCCCCAGATGCCATCAGTCCTCAAAACCTTACGAACAACATCCAAGCCTCCATTATATTTTGCGTGGCCCGAGTACCCCTGTACCATCAACTTTTGACTAACCTAACGAGGATCCACAACCAAAAGAGTATTAGCATGTTTTCTCCTCTTCATTTATTTTCTTCCTAATGGATTCAAAACTAGATGATAAGAAAGATCCAATTCATAAATTACATGTGTGTCTATGAATGTAAATAAACCAGGATTACAAAGTTATAGCAATATATATATATATATATATATATACACACACACACATAGAGAGAGAGAGACCTAATACATAATTGCTAAGAGATTGAAGAAACCCAAAACAAGCATTTTACTAAAATTTTATCCGACACTTCAACCATATGTCAACATGAGAAACCACAAACTCGCATTCCTCAAAATCCATATACATAATTACATATACATCACAAACTTCCTTATTTAATTCTTCTTTCTAATTTTTATTTCATTTTACTTTTTGCCTTTTTAATTGTATGAGTTATATTAGTTGGCGTCCAAAATTAGATGATGACGGCATTCAAACATAGAACAAGGATTAGAGTTTCCATACCACATCAATCGGAACAAAGACAGCCTGAGAGAAAAGAGATGCAGTCATGCCACCTAAGCCATTTGCAACAGCTGCCTGTGTGGGCTCAGATAATTTTAATGGTTCCACCATCTTGAAGGCCGCAACTTTGGTAGTCTCTAAAGCAGTAAGGAATATGATCCTGGCAGGAACAGCACCAGTAATTACTGTGCCAAACCCTTTATAGAGTCCAGGAATCCCATCTGTTCTAAGTAAGCCACGGATGACAGAGAATGCATTTCTCTCAGCAGCGTCCTTTGAAGCAACCTGTAGCCTGGTTTTCACAACAGAAACTGGGTATAGTGCTACTGTAACTCCCGTAAAGAGGCCAGCTCCTACGACATAAAATTTAGTTTTATCAAGCCTGCAGAGTTGGATAAAGAGAAACAAAGATTTAGACATTCAAAGAATCCAATAGAAAGCCAAAGCATTAACCAATTGCATAAGAGGCTGAACCAATAGTAAGAGGATAAAAACAATGACGCCAAACTTGAGGAGACGCTCAAATACAAGGACAATAAATAAATAAAACAAACATAGAGGTAGCCAATTTATGAAACCTGAGTTTTTCATAAACTCCAACGGCAAAACTCGTCATTCAAATAAAATTTCACTACCGTGATTAAGATGAATATAATCGAAACAAGAGAGAATCTATGATGTAGCTAACAACTTCTCCCTCAAGTACTCTCAACCCTTCTCCATCTCCATTTTCATAGACATTTTCTTCAACAATCAAAATATAACACATCAAACTGAAGTGCCAAATGGGAAACAACCAAATAAAGAATCAAAAATCATTTTCAACAGAATCCCACAATAATATTTATTGAATGGAAGTATGAAACAAACACACAGACGCACGTATAGCGACATCTTAGCATTCAAATCCCTGGGATGATGTAATGCCCCGAAAACCAATCCAAATAACAAAAATAAATTTAAAAAAAAATCCTCTTTTAATTCCAGTTGTTTGAAAAAATGCCCACTTATATACAAATACAAAAATTTCCTTTCACTCTTTCGTCAAACCTAATATTTTACAATTTTCCAATAGTTTCCGTCCAACTCTTCCACAGATCCCAATTCTCAGGAATCAAACAAAATGACAATACATAAATTCCATATCCGCAAACCATAAAAAGAGGGAAAAATACATAACAAATTGCGATCTTTAAAACTATAAAGGTGAATAAGACAGCGATTATATTATACCCAAAACAAAAGAGGCGAACTTAATTAAACAAAGAAATGAACATAAAGTGGAAATGGAAACCGTACTTGTCCCAGTTAATCTCGGTCTGACCAAATGACTGGGTGCGAGCGTTTGATGCAGCCATGGAATCCGCCGAATCTTGAACGAAAAATTAAAAATATATCAACAATGCATTCTTCTCGGAAGACGAACCAGAATCTTGAAGATCTCCGAAACGGCGCCTCTCTATGAAGAACAGATTTCTTAAAGATTGTTAAACTTCGAAACCGCCGAGAATGAGTTTTTTCTCCAGGTTTGGCACTTTTTGGATTGCTTGGAGCTGAATCCACTCTCTATGAATTTCGTTTGATTTTTGTTTTTTCTTTTTTTGTTCTGACTTTTTTTATGGAGTTTTCTTGATGGGCGCTCGTTCGGCGGTTGAAGGCTTGCTGCCTCGTGGTGAAACGTTTTTTTGGTTAAAATCAGGTCTTGTTTAGAGCCGAAATCTGTCGCATGTTTTATACCCCTCTCTTTTCATTAATTTGAGTTTAGAATTTATATTTTATTATAGTAAAAAAATTTTAAAAACAGTCACATTTAATTTTTTTATTATAATAAAAAATTCTCATATAAAATTACATCTCAACTCAAATTAAAAACTTAAATTAACGAACTAAACGGCACTTAATAAATTAGTATAAGTTTGGTTCGGATTCAGAATTATATTGAGAATTATTCTAATTTATGTATATTTTTTATGAGAAAAAATACTATAACGAGTCATGAATTATGATTTAATTCATGACACGAATTCTCGTATCAAATACTTCCTTAAAGATTTATAATTTTATAAAAGATAAAAATCATTTTTGTACATATATTATAATGAAACATGCAATTACCATTTTACATTTTTAATAATATTAAAATTGATACATTTTAAGAGTATGTTTGTTTCATAACTCTTAAGTTAAAAATTTAAATTGTGTATATGAGAGAAAAATATTATAATAAAAAATTAAATTTAAATTTTTATAAAAAAAATATTGTACTAAAAAAATTTGAGTTATGACTTAAATTGTGAAATGAAGCCTAAATTTTAAAAACATCTTTGAGATACTGTAACAACTTTTTGTGATGTGAAATGTCTAAACTACCCCTCTCATTAATTTATTCTGAATTAAATTTTACAAAATGCATTAAAATTTTAAAAAAGTACTGTAGAAAAAATTAAAAAATACCTCTCGCTTCTCCTCTCTGAGTCTCTGTCTCGACTCTCTCCTCTCTTTTTCTCACCCCCTCTCTATCTCTCTTACTCTGCATTTCTCTCTCTTCTTTTCTCTAACCCAGATAAGATTTTCTTCATTTTTTCCCCACCAAATCTGTAAACAATATTAAACCAACCAAACAAAATCTACAATAAATAACACATATAAAAAGTGAAGGCTTTGAGTTTGTGGTTAACGCATGTGGGCTCATTACGCCGTTGCCGACTCCATCACCACCGTCCCAAAAAGGCTGAGTTCATCATTTCCCAAATTAATAACCATATTACAGAAACCAAGTAAAAGGAAAATTCAATCCATCAAAATCTCTCAAATTAAAGAACACATCACAACACAAGCAAATCGATGATAATAAATCATAAATTAAAAATAGAATTATTTTCATAAATACCTTCTAATTCAAAGCGTCCTTAAATTTTTTAAAATTATTAAACACCCTATCTATAAAAAAAAAAAAAAAAAAAAAGATTCAAAATGTCTCTTTCGTTTCATTCCATTTATAATACTAACATGTTTAATTTGTTGACATGTCACATCTTAAATATTACTTAAAAGATATTAAGGTCTGACATAATTTATCAAAATAATTAAATATTAAAAAATAACGATACAAAAACTTATTTTAAATAGAAAAAGAAAATTTTTGGGCCCATTTGGTAATGATTTTAAAATGTTTTTGCTTTTAATATAAATGTGAAAATAAGATTATTTTAAAAATCATGTTGAGACTGATTCTGAAATTGCATTTGATTAATTTTTTAAGAAATTATTTTGAGTATAATAAAAAAATAAAATCGTGTTTGATTATAATTATTAATTAATATATTATAATATTATTAATAAGTTGAGACAACCTTAATCTAAGAAGCCGTCTCTTAAAACTCTCAGTAAAACATGATAACTGACAGTATCGATTTCTGAGCCCAGCTTTACAGTTTTACCGAAAACGCGACTCACATAACTTTGATTTTATTAATTGGTAATTAAGGAATTCTTTAAATATTAGAGTGCTTCTCGAAGCATTACTAACACTGTACAATACTCATAAATTCTTATGAACAGAATTACGAGTTATAGTCAAATAAAAAATTTCTCCCGCCTTAATTCGCGGTGAGGATTATCAACGAGTCATAACATAAAAATTTTCGACATAAAATTTTATTTATAGAATTTTAGAATAATATTATTAACTCCAAAAATCATTCATTACAAAATATATCATTATTTAAGAAATCTATGATTTAATTACATAAATTACTCTAATTAACATCAAGATTTTTCGGTTCATTACATAAGTACTATAATTTTAGAATAATATTATTATCTCCATAAATCTTTCATTACAAAATATGTCATTATCTAGAAAATTCATGATTTAATTACGTAAATTACATTAATTAACATCAGGATTTTCCCTATCATTATATAAGTACTAGAAAATAAAAACATAAAAGGAAAAATAATTTTCAATCGTTTTCTAATTTTTTTATAAAAATCATTCTTATTATTTTTTTTTTCATTTTCAAAATATTTATTAAACAAATACAATTTACAAAGTATTTTCATTTTCGTACCTTAGAAGACGTACAAAATTGTTTTCAACCAAAAATTAATTCCAAAGGCATCCTCAGTTTCGCAACAGAGCAGGGATGGAAGATTGATACTGCTGAATCCGGCGTTGCATTAGTGATTAAAAGTGTCACGAAGAATGAGGTGTTGGGTCTTAGTGGTCCTATTATTGCATATATTTGCTCTCTCTCTCTTCTTATATGAATATCTCATGTGCCCAGATTGGCCAATTTGAGATTGCAAAGTTTGGTCTCCTGTCAGGCTCATCCTATTGTTGGATTGATAAGATAGCAAATTGGATTACCAATATTGTCTGTAATGACTTTTCTCCCTTTCATTGAAATCTCACGAGTTTCCTTTAAAAAAATACACTTAAGATCAAAACAAAAAAATGAAAAGGAAAACCTTTCTCCCTTCCTCTTCTCTCTCGCCGAACTTGTTACGAAACCTCACATTCTAGAGGTCGTCATCGGATTTGGTCGGGACTGGCTGGAATGTGAGGTGGGTGGTAACAGATCTTGAAGGTTGTGGGGTGGATGGAGTTGGGGGACTCGATTGAGAGTGAATATTGGAGGTGGATGGCAGAGGTTGTTGGTGAAGAAACTCGGCGGCGATTTTGGACTTGTGGTACCGGAGGATGAGAGGGGCGTAGAAGGGCTGGGCACCGGAGGTTGGTGCTCAAGTGGCTGGTTTTTTCAGATCTCAGATTTGCGAAGTTTTTTATTTTGTTTTTAAATGATTTTTTTAATATTCAAAATTAGTTTTAGAAAATAATTTTAATCTTTTTAGTAATTAATTCATTTCTTAGAGATTAATTCATATTGTTTTCAGATTAATTAAGTTTTAATATGATAATATAATGCCACGTCATGGAATCTGTTAGTGTTGTATACGAAATTGTACGGGAGGGGTGTTTTGAATTTTTTTTATAAATTAAAAGGCGTTTTGAACCATTTTAAAACATTATGACGCGTTTTGAATTAAGGTACATATTTCAAGAGTAATTATGAAAATAATCCTTAAAGTCAGCTGGACTTGCCGGAGGGAAGAATGGGGAAGAGAGAGTTTGCTTGAGAGAGAAGTTTTTTTGTTTCTAAGTTTTTTTTTTGGTTAATTTTTAAATGTTTAAAAATAATTTCAGAATTTGTTTTAAAATTTATTGATCTTTAGTTAATTAATGAGAGGGTATAAATGACATTTTATATCTCATAAAAGGGTCTAAAAGTACTTAAAAGATGTTTTTAAAAACTTGAAAGTGTCATTTTAATATTATAAAAAATATAAAATATTAACTACATGTTTTGATATAACACAAGATACTAAAATGATTTTATTTCATTTTATAAATGCCCATAAATTATATATATCCTAATTCAATGTACCTTAATTATATATAAAAGAAATGGTGTATAATACATTTGTTCTCTTTAAATCCTCTGTAATGTTAATGGATTTGGAAGAAAGTATTTAAGTCCCTTATTTAAATAAAAAATAAGAGGAAATTAGACATAAATTATTTGAAATGAATAGCAGTTTATTTAAATGTTTTCTTTTACGATCAGTAAAAAATATTTTATTTATGTAGTAAAAAATATTTTACTAATTGTTAAAAAAATACGTTAAAAAATATTTATAATAAATTTAAATAAAACATTTACATAATAAACCGTTAAATCTAAAATTATTATTTATTTAATTTAATTTTATAAATCTATTATTTATACCTTCTTTTAATATAAAATTATAGTTTATATAATATTATAAACGAGTCAGAACAATACCAATATTTTGAATGTTGGTAGAATTTTGAACGCCTCTGTCTAATTGAAGGGAAGAAATGGACACTTTCAAAAAGAAATATCTCCAAGATATATAGTTCAGTGCATTTATGAAATTAATTTTGTGAGAATTATATAATAATTTGCTCGGGGGTGAATGTGAATGCTTGCCTAATCCGGTGCCGTATTGAACTGTACTTTCTTCATTTTAAATTGGGTCCATTCGAATAATTTTGATAAATACTTTTTAAAAGTGTATGAATTATGATTTTTATTTGTTACTCTTAATTCATAATCTTTTTAATCAAAGAATTATACTAATAAAATGATATTTATCAAAAATAAAAAATAAAAATCTAGACTCATTCAATATTTTTTTATTCTCTCCTGTGGACTTTTTTTTTTCCTTTTTTTTCTCTCTTTTTGTTCTCCCTTCTTTTGTTTGGGTAATAAAGTTTTGCTAAAGGAATGATGGATTAATTTAGTTCTTGCGGGTTGAACTCATAATTTAGTTCTGTTGTAGTTTTTTCTCAAGAAATTTTAATAAAAAAATTATTATTGATGAATTTTCTCATAAAATTTAAATTCATAATAAAAAAGATAAAAATTAATTTTGGTAAGGAAACAGAAAAATAGAAAAAAAAAAGATGAAAGAGAAAAAAATACGTGCATGAGTTGAGAAGCTGACATGAACATAGGAAAATAATTTGTATAGAGATAAAAGGAAAATAAATGTCGAGAAATAAAATGTAAAAAGATAAAATGAGTTTTTGGCCTCGTTCACTTTATAGATTTAAATTTTTAATTTGAGTTGAGATGTGATATTTTTTGAGAGCTTTTTACTGTAACAGAAAAAGTTAAATGTGACATTTTTTAAAAATTTTTTACTGTAAAAATTTAAAATTAAAAACTTAAATCGGTGAAATAAACGAATCCTTCATTGATCAATTATTCGGAAAATCCCATCAAAAGAAACCAAAAAATAGAAAAAGAAAACAGATACGTGCGTGAGATGAGAAGCTGACAGAGAGAGATCCAGGGGAGTTTACAACTGTACAGTGTACATTAACAAAAAAGAAAAAAAAAAAGTCCGAGCAAAAAAAAAGTGAAATGGAACTCACTTTCTATACAGATAGGCACTGATGATGACACGTGGACATGAAACGCGGATTTAAGCGACGAATTCACGCTCACACGTCATTAAAATGAGCTGTCCTTATACGTTTGTGGTCTGTCAGGCATTAACCTCTAAAAAATGCTTCAGCAAAAAAAAAAAAAAAAAAAATCTAAGGAATGTGGTCTAAAAAAAAATTATTTTCTTTTTTTCAACAAACTCTTCACCCTTTTTTTCCATTGGCTAATTTTCTTTTTTATGACCCACACAATTCATAAAAAAAGGTTGAGTCAAACAAAAACAAGAGAGAGAAAATCACAAAAGCAAAGACTTTAGAGAAAATGACCCACGTATTTTTTTTTTATTTGTAAATAAAATCTACAAGCACTTGACTTTCTATCAATAAAACCCACCGAATGAAGGTTTAGAAAACCAAAAAAAAAAAAAAAAATTCCACGACTCCCATCTGGCAAACATTATGATATCTAATGACAAATTCTATCTTCAAGAAAAAAAAAAAAAAAAAGAGGAAGTTTAGGCATTTTTCAAAAGGAATTATTACGTCTACATTGGCATAGAGATGAGAGACATCCAATGAACAAGGTCACGAAAATTAACAAAAACAATGCACTATAAATTGGAAACAATACCGTTCAAAAAAAAAAAAGGGAACAATATTGTCCCCTTAAAAAGTTGGAAACACCAAATATCAATCTCAATTGAAGTAAAAAAAGGAAAAAGAAAAAAGAGCAAATTTTTTCAACCCCATGAAATATTGCCTAGTGGAGATTGTTCCTCTTTTTCTCATTTTCGTCACCGTTCGTGTGTGCCAAGTAATGTCCATAAAACACAAACAACGAAAAGGCGTTTTTGTGAAAAAGGGTAAGAGAATTACGTGTTACAATTGTAAAACGAGACAGTAAAAAAAAAAAAATATATATA